TAAATCTTACATTCGTTGCAGCAACTTCGTGTCTGTTTCGTATCCTCATACCCAGGAAATGATCTTTCGTTTAGTTAGCACTTTTCAAAGTTATTCTTTGTTTTTGTCTATTTGGTCATTTATTCTGTAGTACTTGGGGATAGCACTGTGTTCCCCCACTGTGTTTTATACGTTGTTATATTGTTCATTCACTCGTTTTTTTACGTTCAACCATGTGTTCGCTGTTTTCCTTTTCTGATATTTTGCAGAAATGTTCATTCATTTTCCTGTATTTTAAACATATATTTAATTAAACCTCTTTTCATGTATCTTTTCATGTATTGTATGTGTTTCAACGTATTATCTGTTGTGTGAGCTTATAAGTTAATTCAAATAAACATCAGTAAATCCGTAACGTTATATTTTATCTCAATTATCCATCAACATACAATTCCAAGTTTAAGTTAAAATATTACATTTATATAAGAAGGAGAAAATATTTCGTTACACCTACGATTAACTATGATCGGATTATATATGATTATCATTATATATAATCCAGATGTTGAGCTTGATTCATTAAAATTGCAGAGAAGTCTTGGAGGATGAGTTCTTCTCTGCGATTCTAATGGATTAACCGTCAACCGACGTTTGAACGCCCGACATTTGAGCGTCCGACATTTGAGCGACCCCGACATTTGAGCGATCGAAGTTTGAGCGACTCCGACATTAGACACTTTTCAATATGACTTTTTGCCGATCAGGAAAGTCGAATGATTATTCACTTCGATAACGATGATCAGAACAATTTTTTTGTCGTCCGATTATGAACTGAATTATTTGGAGATCTGAGGGTGAGGCTGTGTAGGGTAAGGGTGGGTGAGGGTGAGTGGAGGTGAGGGTGAGAGTGAGCACTTGGTGCTGAACGGTCGTTATTACTCAAATGTCGGTCGCTCAAATGTCGGGGCGCTCAAGTGTCGGTCGCTCAAGTGTCGGGGTGGCTCAACTGTCGGTCGCTCAAGTGTCGGCGCTCAAATGTCGGGCGCTCAAACGTCGGTTAATCGGATCAAGCTCAACATCTGGATTCTGTTGAGAGTCTTCCTTGACTCTTAGGAGGTTCTTTCGATTTGAGTGAACATCCTGATGCAGATATTTTTATTCCAAACTTAGATGAACCGTTAAGCAAGGTTCGAAACGGTCATCGTAAGTAGCTTGGAATAATCTTGTGAACGCACCCTCACACCCCCCCTTTACTTATGGGACACTCTGTATACCCAAAAGATCCTTGGTAGATTTGATTCAAACTTTTTCTGTGTATGTTAGGGGCCATAAATAGTCATATTGCCAGTTCTTATTGCAGACCGTCAAGTTCAACTATGTATAAGAAAGGGTTAATAGAAACTCAACGAAAAAACTAATATCCTCATGGGCCTCAAGTGAATTTGAAATAGATTCATAGTTTGTTTTATCCTAGATTCTCGTAGAAAGAGTCTGGTTTTAGAGTTATTAGAACCTGAGTAAAACTCCGCTAATCTATGATACTTCTAGAGATATTAGCTCCCTATATGGCAAGAAAAAATAGTTTGCTCTGTATGATCATTGGATGGATACCTTCAGTATCCATTAATAACATATAATCATATTCATCACGATCTTCTACTTTAATTAACTGTATGTTAACACCGCGAGTACATTGACCAACACTTGAACGAAAACGTACACCAAACATCATATTAAGTAATGTTGATTTATCGGAGCTTTGTACGCTTAATATACTTAAAACGAAAATGTTTATGTCATTTTTTTTTGTTATGCTTTGCAATTTAGTGATTAACACCTTTAACACTGTACCAACCCATTTGTCACAAGTCATACCAGCGTCTCCACCTAACAATTCTATTGGAAATCCATCAATCAAATATTGTGCAGCCATCTCTGGATAATAATAATAACGTGCTGGATCACAGGTGTGCAAGTGATTACATTCTCTCCATAAATGCTCGACGGAAACAAGAGTGGCTGCATAAGTAGCTTTAGCTTCAATGAATTTAGTTTTAAGAAAATCACCGTTGGGTGTTTCCACGCAGGTCCGCCCATTTATACAAAAGTTTTGGCCGGGTGAATCTCACTATGCTCATTAGATAGAGCATGCCAAGTTACATATAAATCGATATTTTTTATTGACAAAAGTTAGGC